CTATACAAGTGACTCTAGGCAGATCACACATAAAAAGCATAAAAACAGTTTAAAAAGTACAAAACAAAGTTAAAAGACGGAGAGAGCACCCTCAAGCTACCAGCCATCCCCAGTGCTGGGAGCCCCCATTGGATCCCCATGCAGAGCCAGGTCTTAACTCTCTTCTGGAAGGCCAGAAGAGTGGGGGCCAATTTCACCCTAGGGGGGCAAAATATTCCACAGGGCGGGGGCAACAGCAGACAAGGCTCTCCTCCTAGACCCCACCAGTCAGAATTCTCTTAACTGATGGGGTCTGCAACATGCCCTTCCTGCCAGACCGGGTGGAACAGGGCGATGTAACTGGGACGAGCTGGTTCCTCAGGTAACCTGGGCCCAAGCCACGAAGGACTTTAAAGGTCATAACCAACACCTTGAATTGGACCCGGAAGCAGACCGGCACCCAATGCAGCTCACATAGCAGAGGTGTTATCTGCACAGCCCTGGGGGCACCCAAAACTGCCTGCACTGCTGCATTTTGTACCAGCTGCAGCTTCCGGATACTTTTCAAGAGCAACCCCATGTAGACCCCCACATAGAGTAATGGGATTTTCTTTATGCCTTATTGTGTTGTGAATCCAGCCTCTGTCATCAGACATGAAAAGGAGCCAATCAGATTATCTGCAAAAGAGGACAAAGCAGGTGGGCATGGCATCACATCAAAGCCCCACCCCTTTGACATTGAAGCATATACACAAGGTGCAACTGCCATTTGCCTGCTTTGACACTGCCCCCCTCCCCAACATCACTCATTTTAACTACAGATCAGAAGAGCTACAAGATTTTAGAAGTTCATCTTATCAGTTCCATGGTTCTGTTATTTTTATCACAGTCATTTGCTATTTTTTGTAACTGAGTTGGATCCAGGCTTAATTACTCTTGGTGTAGATCCATTATTAATTTAAATCCTATTAATTTCTACAGTTTTGCTTCAATCAGGACTACTTTCCAAACCAATATGTTTTTTAAAAATTGTATTTGTTTTAGATAGTGTCCTCTGCTTGAAATATTCAAAGTGGACTGTAAATATTTTATAGTAATCATGAAATTGAAATAAAGAGAATGTGATTCATAGCATACACAAACTGATGACCATTCATCCCTGAGTGATGTCCCTGGTGTTCACACATAAGAAATCCTTAAGAAAGACCCCTTATTAAGAGAATCCGACTTACAAGCTAGTTCAACCTCTGGCAGTTTTCTTTTTCAAAAATTAAGCACCTGCCCAAGATAAGAGATATTTTGGGGTTTTGGCAGGGATGCCTGGAGTAGCTTGGGAAAGATGACCAAAGAGGAAGCCATGGCTGCTTATATTATGGAAATGAAGAAGGCAGCCCAGAAGGTAAATGGTGCAAAATGTTCATGTTTGGTTGGTGGGGCTGTTGGGTGGTGTTACGGTGGGAACTTACTGCAGTGAGTAGTATCATTGTAGGTGGGCTGCCGTGCAACACCAAACCCTGCTAAGAAATGTGGAGCAGGGAGAGGACAAGAAAGAAATGGCAGGAAACTGCCCCAGGGCTCAGACTTGAATCTGCACTTGAGGACTTAAAATTCAGACAATAAGTTTACATGACACTTTTTTTTTTGTAATTCTCTAACTATATACTAATTACATACGTGCTAATTATTACATCATAACAGCTATTACATGCTAATGTTTACATACATAACTGGAATGTATTAGGAGAATCCAAAATTGGATTTATATTATTGCAGGCAGATTTGTATCAAGATACTTTACTTGACCATTTTCATCCCTCTGCCCTCCTCTCTGCTTCAAGCTTCTGGTCTTCTTGTTTGTAGTAAAAGATGTGGAACAGCTGCAGAAAAGTACACTCCTGAACGAGTGTCATTCTGACCTCAGATTCAAGACATCCCAGTTAGAAAAGGTGATTGCTTCTGTCCCCCTACTTCATAGATAACTCTTCTTCCTGCTCAGTGGTCAGTTTAGTGAACTATAACTAATTCTGGAAATATTTAAATGGGGAGCAAGAGGGGAGGGAGCCTCCCAGGTAGGTACCCTTCCATGAGCTGGCAATGCCTTTACTGAGTGCAGTTAGAGGTCCTGCTGTTCTTCTCTTATGAAGATCAAGAAGGCATCTCAGGAATCTCTATGTTCCCAGTAGGTCAGGTCTGTGCTTTCTTTGTTTCAACAATGCCATCACTGCAGCTGCTTCCAGATCACTCATGGGGGCCCAGGGAATGGTGTTGTACCAGCTGGGATCCCTTCTAGACTTTCTGGCAGGTCATCAACTCTGTGCCGATGGACGAAGCATCGGAGGACATGTTTGTATACTTTGAGCCCCTCTATGAAGTGATTCATGATATGCCCAGACCCCCCGAATCCTTCTTCAAGAAGAAATCAGGTATGCTTGGGGGCAGCAAAAGTCGGGTGGGAGGGAGGCATTTGGGATACTTTCACCAGCAGTTGTGATTAGATAGTTATCCCTTTTACACCTCAAGATCCACAACCTAAACATGAAAGCCATCTTGCTCCCTAACTTACCCTCCTTCTTGTCTCCTTGCCTCCTCCTGTGTGAACTTTGCTGGTGCTTCCATGCAATTTGGCACACAAAGTATTTTGTTTTTGGGAATTTAAGGAGCTTGATAGATATGTTTGGGTTTGGAGCATTGGTCCTCTAGGCAAGGGAGTTTCAACCAGGTGACCTTATTTCATGTTACTTCCCAAGCCCTAATGTTAGATACTCTTTGTCCTGCCTCCAAATTGCTCAAGTAGCTCATCAGTTTGGAGTGGAGTGGTCAAACCTGCTTAGACATGTTTGGGACTTTGGCACAGGAAGCAACCCTCAAAAGATCTACAGAGCAGCTTGGTATCAGTTGACTTAAAAGGAGATTTGGCCTATCCCCAACTGTTACCTCTTGCAGTGATGAACAAAAGCCACTCAACAGCTGGGTTCACAACACACTTTGCAGGTCAGTTAAAGACCTGGCAGATATATAGTCAAAATATACAATACTACATTTGGTTAGGGTTAACTCTGGTTAGTATTTTGTGGCTGAACAATAGTACAAATCAAGCTTGTTTGGTTTATGATTCAGTGCATTGTGTGAGCCCAGAAAACTGCTTAATTCAGTAAAAAATGGTGTTGTGGAACATAGCTAATGGCTGGTTTCACTAACATATGGTTCAGGCTAAAATAGGGTGAGAAGTTCATGGCTCACTGTGTGAAATTGCAGAACTCTCATGGGACTGTGCTCAGGATAAATTCTAGAACTCATGGAGTCCTCAGCAAAGGGTTCTCTGCTGTCCAGTGGGTCTGGCTGCAGTTTACAAAGTGGCACCAACAGACAATTAAAAGTCATGATTTAATATTTCCCAAAGTGACATTATATTGGAGATATTGTGGGTGAAATAAAATGGCAGCTTGCATATCTGGCTTCCAAGCACATGTGAGATGGTTTAAGACTGGTGGGCTTGCCAGAGTGCCAGGGCTGTGGAGGTGCCCAGGAGTGTTGTTTTCCCATGCCAGGTTTGACTGCCATTTGTATTAGCAAAGTTTGTTCAAGAGAACTGCCCAGTCAAATATGTTGCATGATTTGGCACTGTGTGCTCCCTGCCTTTCAATGGCATTTGATACAGGCCATCTGAGCTATTCATAGGAGTACCTCTCTGCTATCTATTTTGGTCTGTATATATAGGCAGCTACTACTTTGCTTCTGGTTATACTGTTGGTAGCTCCCCAAGTGACTTTGAGCCATTCACCTTCTCTGACTCAATCCAAATCACAGGGTGATTATGGGGGAAATTGGATGATTACCATCTTGAGTTCCTTGAAGGGAGGCAGAATATAAATCAAATCGCTAAAATAAAGCTCCTCAAACCCAGGATACGGCTTATCTGTAAAGTCTCTCATGAATGCTGATCCAGTTTTTCTTAAGCCTAATTTCTTTCTTTGGTGGAAATATTATCATATTTGTTGATTAAAAATTCCACTGTAACTAATTACTTTGCTAAACAATCAAGAAGAGGGAAATAGAAGCAATTCCTCTCTGCAGTTAGATCCTTTTTCCTTCCTTTCCTGCAAAATCAAGAGGAAGAAATTACCGACCCAGGGAAGGGTGAAAGACTTCATTTAGCTCAATGGATGGAGTCAGTTATTTCTACATATTCTGAAAGCTTTTCTGCTAAAATAAAGCAGCCAGTATGGAGTAGTAGGTAAGGTATTGGACTCAACTACAGAAGCTCACAAGGTGATTTTGGCCCTGTCACTCCCTCAGCCTAACCTATTTCTCAGGTTTATTGTAAGGAGAAAATTAGGAGAAGGGAGTGCTGTGCAGGCCAACCTCAACTCCTGAATGAAAGGTGGGATAGGAATCAAATAATGCGCCTTTAAGTTTAATGTTAGTGAATTAAAATATAGACTTGAGAAGCAGCGAGATATTTTGAAGGACTTTTAATCCAGTGCTACATGTTCAACCATGTGTGCAAGTCTTTAAACATCTTTTAGGAACTTTCTTTTCCAAGTATTAAAGCACACATTAAAAGATCTTCACAGCCAAGATGCTGTCTCTGCCCAAACCATTCCATACTGGGAGTGTAATTAAAGAGCTCTGCTTCCTCTGCTGTCAGTGACTACTCTCCTCTCTGCTAATCATCCACTTTAAATCACGAGCTTGTCTTGGAATTCCAGAGACCTGGAAACAGTCATGCTCAGTTTGGGTATTATTTGCCTTGTGGCCATTAACTTCAATATATAATACTCTCATGCTTAAATTAAAGCATTGCATGAGGCAAGGCTATGCAAATCATTTGACAAGGCACTCCCTTTGGATTGGTTCCTTGAAGCTTCCAAGCCGTCACAGCTGATCAAAAGCTTGGCACAAGTTCTTTGAGGCTCTCCTAAAGTTTCTGGGCATGTGTGTCTGGATTTGAAGTCCATCCTTCCCAGGGTCCCTACAAGCAGCCATGCCAAGCTTTCAAGGAGCTGAAGGGCTTTGTGGCTTCAAAGAGGAGATCCAGCAAAGCACTTAGTTGAATCGTTTCTACAAACCTAATAACAAAACTAGATCTAATACCAACCCTAACCCTAATGCTAAAGCTATAGCTGCTGATAGGGGAAAACTGTACACCCAGACTCTTAATGGTCAACACTGAAAGACATTCCATTCTTTTTGCAGTTAAATTGGACTCAGAATCTGCCTCTTTGCAAAATAGTTCATTAAATGGACTTGCTGAAATCTGTCCAAATCCACCAGCGTATGAAGAATACAAGCAAGCAGGCAAGTACATCTCATAAAATGCTCATCATGGTGACAGGGATGTATGTACCCTGTGTATACTGCAAGGATCCCCAGTAGATAATGTGCATTCCTTTCCCTTTATACTGAAAAATGCAGTGGTTTACCTGGTAGGATCACTATTACAGAGTGAAGCTACTTCATTTCAAGACAGAGGACAGATTTTGCCTTCACTGCAAGCATTTCACTATGAGGAAATTACATTTGTATAAATGGGACAAAATTGGAACAGGCGGTAACCTGCTTCCTGCTCCTTATGAATTCAGCCATTAAGAACTCAGTCTGTAATGAGAGGGTGAGATTTCTTCCTTCTTCAGTAAATGCATTTTTAAATAACCAATGCTGCCACTGTGATGGAACATTTTATCTCTAGATAGAACTTTGTAGCCCTGCTCAAATAACTTAAACCTTTAGGTTGCCTTCAGGGGAGTCATGACAATGTAGGGTTTCATCATGTACAAAGCCAAAACTTGTCAATGTTCCCATTCTGAGCAAGAGATAGCTGATTTGGAGAAGGTAGCTCTCTTCTTCTCCCTCCTCCTCCTCCTCCTTTCTAAAAACTGATGTCATAAACTATCAATCAACCCATTGGTTCATTGATGCCCAGCTTGATTCTTGGGTCTTAATGAGCTGTACATAATCTAAGCAGTGGGATCAAAGCAGACCACTATGCACTATTTTCCTTCTCTTTTGTAAATCAGATAAAAAGCTAAGTCACAATGCAATTCAGGTTTATTTTTCTTTATAAAATGTATACCCACTATATTGCCAGACTCTCACAGATCTGACATCTTGCAACCCAACTTATACAACTTGCCTACATCATAATTTTTAAACACTTAAATCTTTAGTAAGGCACTAAAGCCTCCCGTGTTTTCTTGGACCAAATATTTATCTTCATCACTGGCCAGATATTGAGAACCTGGGGTAGAGATTCCAAAAGTGGGGAAAGAAACTTAACACCTCACATCTGGATTTTCAGATTTTGTAAGTTATAATCACTTGCATGTACATGCACACCCATACATAGCTTCTCTCTGTTTCTCCTGATTATACCTTATTGTTTCTATTCTGAGCCATATTTTTTTCTCTGGCAGGACTTGGCCTTGCCAACAAAGCTATGAGGAGCAGCCAGATGACCAGTGATTCAGAGAATGAGGTGTTCTGTGATAGCCTAGAACAAGTGGAGCCTCATCAGGTGATGAAATGAGACATGGAGTACAGATGAAGAGAGCAGGAGGAGACTTAATTTAAAACCTCTGCCTCTAAACACAGCCAGATGGTCCATGTCAAAATGCTGTCCTCCAGTGCATGAGTTGCTGGAAAAGTATGCCATCATAAATTGTGCTGTCCTCACTGCTGATCACTATTCTGCTTCAGTAACAAAGCTGGCGAGTGGTGGTGTCCTCGCTGTTTGTGAAGCAAATTCAAAGAAGCAATTGGTGGATCCTCCTGCTTTGTTTCCCATCCCACCAAGTATTACCTGCAGTGGGAAAAACACCACCACCAATTGCTCTTCTTAATGGGGTAGGGGGGGATGGGCAGATATAAGCTTAGAATTGTTGGTTAAGCCACTTATCAAGTTGTGTGACTAACAAGCAACAGGCACAGAGATGCTCTATGCTGTTTGTCAGCTGGGCTGTTTCTGAGCACAGGTCTAGCACTTTTCTGAAAGAGTGCTAAACCTGTGCCCAAAAATAACATGGCTGCCAAATCATAGGAGTGGAGAGAAGCTGCAGCATGAAGCAGGAGGGAATCATCAATAACAAGCAAGCTCCATCCTCAACTACTGCTGCCAGCGAGTGACCATGGCCAGCAGCACCTAGTAGTAGCCTATTCAGTAAGTAAAATGGCACCACCCCTGCCACCAAAATTACCTCTTCTTGTCAGAAGGAGTGGAACCTATAATGCTTCACAGGTGACAGTAACACATAGTTGGCAGAACCCAGTTCTCTTTTCTAGTTTAAGTCAACCACTCTGTGGAGCACAGAACTAGTGTTCTCACAAGCCTGGGTTTAAAAAACAAATCTAGCCCTCTTTCAGAAGAATGTTAAACCTGTATTTATAAACTTGTCTATATCAGGAATCGCCTTAAGACCTGGCAAGTGCTTCAGAAAGCCCCAAGCAGGCATGACATGGGCAAAGGCCTCTGTGTGTCCAGACTCTCCTGCAACCCAAGCAAGAATGGCTTTGGAGAGCCAGGGCCAGGATATACCACAGCAGCCTAAAGAAGCCAGTAGAAGCTGTGCAGATCCAACCCCGACTACATCAGCAACCACATCATTGATGGAACGGCCTAGATCATATCCACAGCAAAAATTGTGTCAGCAAAAGAGGGAAAATGCTATTCTAAAACTGGAACAACTAAAGGCAACTTTAAGCTACCTCAGCTGTTGGTTGGGGAGGAGGTAAAGACAAAGTTATGATGACATGGCATAAAAATGGTTACTGGGGCATGTTCATGCCACGGTTAGGGAGACATGAGGAAGAGTCCTCTGAGTAGAGTATCCTGACCCCACACTGACAAGTTCTGTTGTTTAGGGAGGTTGCAAAAAGTTATCTTCTACTCTCCCATTGTCGTTTTTGCTATATCTAATCAATTGTATTGCAGAACTAATTTTGCTGTGATCAGATTCTTTTAAAAGGCATTTAATCAGTTCAGGGCTCCTAAGCCATGTTTTAAGGACATGAGTAACTTGAATGACTTGTGTAATTTGAGCTGTTCAACTAAACTAAAGCAAAGTTCCTTTCTAAATACATGGATTTAGGCAAGATAAAATTTGCAACAGCAACAAAGGTAAAGTTTTTGGGTATGTTAAGGCTTGCAAGATCCGAGCAGATGGATTGAGACAAAGCTTCTTTCAAGAATCTAGCTCCTTGGTTGTTTAATTTACACACATTCACACACGTGTGTGTGTTAATCTGTGTGAGGTAAAATTTGAAAACTTATTAGAAATTACAGTAGAGAAATAAAAGGCATCTTATGTTTGACTTTTAGTATTCTATCATTAAAAAAAAAACAGGTTAAGATACATTTCCCAGCACTGCTAAGGAGGGCCAATCCTCCTGCCTGAACAGTTGGCCTCAGCCCACCTAACTCCAGACTCAGTAGCTCTAGGACTATGTTATGGCTTCCCTCTCAGCAGAATAACATTTGCAATCCCTTAAGGCATTTTGCAGGGTTATTGACAGAAAACTAGATAATCCCCTAACAATCAACACCTAATTTTAATTTAAATTGGGGGGAGGGGAATACTATGGTAATTAAAGCCATAAAAAGTTGAGTCTAAAAACCTAGTTTGTGCTTTGACTTTTTCTTTCTCTACAGGCCAGAAGACTGTCAGCCAAACAAAGCTTTCCCTTGAGCAACCCTCCCAGCAGTCAAGCTGCAGAGAAAAGGGGATGTAAGTTTTTACAGCGTCCTTAGCTGGAGAAGGAAGATGAACAGAGATGATACCAACCTTTTGCCTCAGAAAGAAAGCACGGCTTGGGTAGAAACAGGTTTAGGAAATGCCTGTGGGTGTTGTGGCTCATGCATTTGGCAACAAAATGCCATGTTTCATCCACAAGTGCAAACAGGCCTGAAAAAGAATTAATTTGCTTTTATTCTGAAGTAATGGAGTAAGGCAAAATGTCTAAGTTTGGCAGAAAACATGTTTTATTCAAAAAAAAAAAAATTGAATGCATCCCTACCAGAAGGACATCCACAACAGATATGCTGTTGTGCTTCCACAGCAGAAATAATCCTTGAGAAGTACAAAAAGTAAGTGGGAAAGGACAGATATTGTTCAAGTTGGACAGCCATATAACTAAATAAATCTTCACAAGGAGTGAGATAAAAATGGGAGATGTCATAGAACTCTGCCCAATTATTTTACCAGCTTTTCAGCCAGAATCAACCTGTGAGCAAAATCTGTTATCTGCTTCCATTTACACATTAATCAGTGGAAAAGAGTTAGAGGGAAATTATGCTAAAGCTAAGACCGTTTGGGACTAGAACTGAATTTCACCATTGGGCTGTATTAAAACATGATGAGAACTGAGGTTGGAGGTTGAATGAACCCTCATGGGAAAGTCCCTTTGCGTTCAATACCACTCCTCATAGAAAGATATACACAATTTCCCCTCTCTTATTTGATAGTTTACTATATCCAAGGAGTATTTTATTTGAGGAATGCAGTGAAAATATGCCTCCCCAATCCAGGATCTTCTGTTTAAAGAAAGAATGGAAAAAAATATGCAGCAGTAATTTCATTCCAAAGCTAAATCACAAGTTTTATTCATCTGGGACTAATATATTATCCTGTGTCCCTATTTTACTTCCTGTTGGACTTCTCTGATTCTTGTAGTGATACAATCCTCCAATCTTGTGTTCCATAGATGTGTTAGGGCTATATCTTCCACAATTTTCAGCCAGCAGAGCATTCAAAACACCTAGAGGGCATCCAGTTAGAGAAGAGTATAGTAGAGAAACTACCCCCCAAAGCATGCATGTTACACACAAGCTTCTAAAAGCTGTTCTAGGCCATTTGTAAACTAAGCACCAGAACTGTAGCAGTCAGATCCCCACCACTACTCAGCCCAATGTAGCTTAGAAGGCAATTGTGAGAACAGAATTGAAAAGGATTCCAATTCTTGAGCTCCTGGAGGAAAATTGGGATATAGGAGTAATATCTGCCTCTAATACATGTATGTCCATCTCACTGACCCTCTTTTGGAAGAGTTGCCCACTGTGCTGTTCAAGAAGCTGGAGGTAGTGGCTTTCTGGGGCAAAATGTACAGCCCTGAATATAGGTGTCCTGCCACGTGATTGAGCTGGCCTTGTACAGCATGTGCTTCAACTGATAATGCAGAAAGATCCTTTTGCTCACCCTTTCCTCCCCCACTGGAGGAGTACCTGGTTACGTTGGAGGATTCTCCTGATCTGCTTGGGTCTTGGCCTTGAGAGAGGTTAATTAGTAATGCACCAGTGTAGATTTAGCTGGTCATTGCTCTTCCCTCCAGTTTCTCTCACTCCTGCCTTGCTTTAGTTGGTTGTACCACTGTTTGGTTAGCTTAAAACATTAGGGACTGGGAACAATGTTTCCTTTATTTGCATAGCTTCCAAACAAGCTTTGGTTCTGCCATCTCTTAGTGGAATGCATGAGCTTTACTTGGTATTAGTTTTGATGCATTGGAACCCCTGATATCCACACTATGTCTTGCAAGTAGGAGGAGGTACAGGTAAGATCAAGTGAAACAATGGCAGCCCTTTAAATCTTGTTTTCTCTCTCCCCGCCTAAACGTGACCCACCTGTACACCGAGAATAGGTATGGTACCCAGGCAGATTTGAATTGTGGGATGCTCTCAGTTTAAAATATTAAGATCTCAGTCTTTGGGATGTATCTATCCATTTTTTTCTGCTACAGCGGCAATGGATCGTTCAGCTCCATCTCATCTTACACACCTGCATACTGCCCCTGCCAAGATCAGCGGCAGTCTTGAAGCCATCAAAGAGAGCCAGGCAGGTGTCTTGACCCAGAAGGATGTGACACTGCAGGTGATGAGTACCATTCAAGCTTTGCAACAGGATATGAAGAAAGTGATGGAAAGACTCAGCTACTTGGAATCATGGGCAGCTTTGCAGGTGTGTTGCTTTTTCTGAAAGCTGACAAGACAAGCATGTTGGTTTATAAATGTACAAATCGCTGCTCAGCTCAGAAAGCTCCAAAAGCAACATATGAACAATAAATATGTTGGGGGCAAGTTGCAAATCAAAGGTCAGACTTCTTGTACAGGGATTTTGAAATTAAACCATTTGCAGCTCTGCAAGATCAATGTGTCCCAGCCTGTTTGATGGAAATGAGGAGGCATTGGTTAGAGGGGAGTGAGTGGCAAAAGGAAGGGTGGGGGGAACAGCAGGAAAAAAGCAGGATGTCAGAAAGAGATTAGGTAGCCCCATCCATTGTTACTTAAGCTCTATCCACTACAGTATTTGCTTAAGTCCCACCCACCAACATGGAGTACTTCCAAACAAATTCTTCATAAACTAAGTTGGCCTTCAGAGAGCAGCAGGCTGCTATTGTGCAGAAGGGGCACGGCTGCCCTTGCTGCATTACAGTTCAGTAGGATGAAGTCCTAAACTTCATTAGGATCAAAATACAAATGAAAGATCCTAATTTTTCTCTAGTAGTGCGATTTTTTCACTTTACTGGAAATCTTAATATCTTCATCAGTACAAACTTGCTTGTGTATTAAGATCTTTAGAAAAGAATATGATATGCATCAAAGTTATGTCTGATGCTTTGGAGAAAAGTGGGCAAGCTGTACCAGGACCCCTGAATTTACTTTCCTGGGAATTCCTTCAAGCTGACTCTCTGACTCTGGAGCAATATGTAGGATCTTCCTGTTTCAGACAGTGTTTGGCCTTTTGAATTCTTCTTTCTCCACTTTGAAGAACCGTTTATAATTGTTAGATTTTAACTGAGACTGATTTTTTTTATTTTGTGCTACTTTTTGAAGACATTTTCACCTGTATTTTTTACTAGATGCTGGTGCCACTCAGTTGTTCTATTATACTGTAGTTAGCCAAATTGCTTGGAGTTTTAGCAGGGGATTTAATAGCCAAGAAATTGTGTCTGCAGAGGCAGCATAACATTCTTTGCTAGTGTCAAAAAAAATTAATGCAACAAGTTCTCTTTTTAATTTCTGTCTGCATGCTGATTTCTTGAAATGGCTTGGATGGTTCCCGGGTGGCACTCTACTCAGACAGTGTATAAGGCCACAGTGGTTTAGCTTTAGCTGCTGAATTCTGCTTTGCATCATTATTCTCTTTTGTTGAATAGACAGCTGTACATTTGTTCACCACAATACACCTCTAAATCCTCTCCTTAGGTCCCAATAATGCCACTGCATTTATCTTACTTTCCTCCTGTCATAACAAGCCTCCTCCTCCTCCTCCTCCAGGGTGTACTGATGTTTCTGTTGTGCTGTGATCACCATTATTTTATACATCCTGCTGACCATCTGTATAACTTGATATTTGCCTGCTTTCACACTAGCTGGCAATGGCAAAATATGTTAAGAGAGGAAAGTAGATGTTTCTGTAAGAAAGTATGAAGCATTTGTATTTAAAACACATACAAAAACAGTGAAAAGGCATCTCCCTTAATTCACATTTTTTATATAAATGAGTAGAGGCAAGAAATGTAAAACTACACACAATCACCAAGTATTCAGGATTGTTTGTATTTACCTATCATCTCCCACCCGTGAATGTATAGACTTACCCCGAACTCTTCTGATACCTGAAATAGACTTTCAACAAAATTGCTTATAAAATAGAATGAGAGGGGGATAGTGCTCTGGCGGATAGTCATCACAACCACTCTTGATTTTTCTGTCTTTCAGCACCATACATCCATGTTGAACCCTTGCCTGCCAGCTAAAGTACCTGATGCAAAGGTATGAGGACTCATTATGGGGAGTGTTCCAAATGCACTGATACAAGAAGGTATCTAGATGGGTAAGAGGCTGGCTGCTAATTCTGAGATGGCCTCAGGAGTGCAGCTTTAAATGAGAAATACAAACAGCAGTACAGTAGTAATAATGCACAAGGTTCCTCTGGGCTTATGTCAAAATGCTTTCTTTCAGTATTAGCAGCACTTCCCCCCAGCTCCGCACCATCAACCCCCATTTAAACAGTAGGAAGATTTGATTAATGAATAAACTTAAGGTGATTAATTTCACTTATTAGTCATTTTTATCTGAATCTTAATCTGGGAAAAGTTAAGCCAGTTGGAGAAAGCAGATCCCCTTCGTTTGGAATTTCTGGAATCCAGGAGGGTTGACAAGCACTTCCAATTTTTCCTTCAGTCCCTGCCATTTTTTTTTTTTATCTCACAGGAACTGCCAAGTTGGCCTGTACGCCTGTCTCCTCATACCTGGTTTTTCTTGCTGGCTTGGCCTTTTGTTGCCCAGTGGCTACTTTGGTGCTTCCAGAGACAGAAGAGATGAATTCCTTATTGTCATTCAATAATATTAAAGGAGAAAAACTACTTGGAAATGGCTGGAAAGATGGGTTCAAACTCTAAAAATTGGACTCCTACCAACACTTACCAGTGACTTTACTTTTTCATCTTTATTAACCTACCTTGCTACAGTTCTTAACTACCTTAACTACGCAAGACTGTGAAATGGGGTGGTATGGGGATGGTAACCAAACTTTTAACTAGTCCAGGAAAGGAACATTTGTGATACTAGCTCCATAACACCTAAGGAGAAATGAACGCGACAATGTCTTTTTTTTGTCCCAGGTGGCCTAAAATCATTCCAGCTGTGAAAAATAGTTTGATGCTAAGTAAAGAAGCTGTGGTCTCCTTCCTTGTCTGTAACACCTACATACAGTGAGCATCATGCTATTGAGAAGACAATATAATGGAGGGAGCCCTCCATAGCTGCTGTTATCAGGTTCTCACCATCTATTCTAGAAACAAGAGATTGACAACTTAACATGGTAATGCCTAATCTCATGCATCAACTTAAAGTTGGAGGGAAGAATCCCTCTGAGAATGAGGCCTTTCCCTCTACACTGAGGTTCCTCACCACCTGTCTCTTCACTTTGGGAGCAACACATTTAGTTAACATAAAAATAGTCCTGCATCCAGTTCTGAGGATTATAAGAAGGCTACTAACAGAATGAAATGTGTTCAGAAGTTATTAATACAGACATCAGGGAGTCAGAGATCCACCCAAATCCAATAAGGAAAATCTAAAGGAGTTATTTGGTATGTCTCGCCTGAAGAAGAAAAAATGTAAAAACTGTCATAAAGCTGAAGGAGGAAATTTATCTTATGTTGCTTAAGAGGGTTGGACCTGAACCAACTGATTTAAATTATAAGAAAGGATTCTGAGTAAATATTAGGAGCTAAGTGTAGCATTATATGAGTAGATTTTTTTTTCTCTTCTTCCACGTAACCCTCTGCATGCCACCATCAGCTCCAGAGGGTACCTCAGTTTTCCAAAGTAAATCTGAGTTGGATATATTGGCTTTCAAGGGGAATGATGTCCTGATATACCACTGGATAAGCTAATAAGAACTACCTGATAGTACAAACTGACAGTGGAACAGAGTGCCTCAGAAGATGATAGATTATTTTTAAGCATATATTTTTAAGCAGAAATTTGCTGTAACACTACATTTCCAGCACTCACATACAGTACATGATTTTTGAGGTCCCCTTCATCTTTATGTCTGAGTTTCAATTTGCTAAGCATTGTTTGTGTTAACTATAAATTGTTGGATAATTTACAGTTGTCTGGTTCATATATATTGCTAAACAAAACTGGTTTACAGGCTACATGACCGAGTTCATACATCACACTAAATCCAACTCAAACAAACCACATTATGGATGGGTTCAGACACTCTGCTAAGTTGAAGTGAAGGAGAACCTGCAGCCTTGAAGATTCTTTTCTGTGGATCTCAGACCTTATCTAAAAAATTCAGTAGCTTTCCACTATTTTGGGATGGGAAAACCATAACTGTAACAAACTCTTAACATAGACTTTCCCAAACTAGAAAAAGAAATGGAAAATTCCATTCTGCTCATATACATAATAATCACCATATCTATTTTACATCATTGATCCACACACTGTACTTATCTCCAACAAAAATGTTAAATATGACCCCTGATTTCCAAATGGTTGCAAATCCATGTGCCTTCATAATATGGTTTGTTTAGGTTTTGGCTTGGTGCAACATGTGAATCTTATTAATGTAATTTGTTGATCATGTGAGTGCTGGACAGATCACAGGCTGGTCTGGTTGGTCCTCAACCTGCACATAGCCCCTTTACATTGTTAACAACCAAGGACTGTCAGAAAAGCATTCAACATCAGACTACAAGACCCACAACAAGTCCAACATTTCCAAGATGTATCTAATGAAAAACTCTCTGGCAATTTACCGCTTGTAGGAACCTGTTCTGAAAAGTGGGCGCAGTTTAAAGATGTCATCATGCAGACTGCAACAACTGTACACAGACTGAAAACCTGGGTGCATCAAGATTGCTTTGATGAAAACCACAAGACAATTTCAGCAGCCCCCAGCCAAGAACAAGGCCTATGCAGACTGGCAGAGCGATCCATCATCTGTGTCAAAGCAAGACAAGTTTAAGCACCTGCAGTCCAAAGTACAGACGGAACTGCGAGAAATGCAGGATGACTGGTGGCAGAAAAAGGCTGAGCAGGTGGAACACTATGCGGACATGCATGCCACCAGAGAGTTCTTCAGGGTCATAAAGTCTGTTTATGGTCCTACTAAATCAGGATGCTCCTCCCTGCTGTTGTCTGATGGGTCAAGCTTGATCAAAGACCAGGAAGGGCTGAAAAACTGCTGGGCTGAATACTTTTCCAGCCTACTCAATAGGCGGTCCACAGGTGACTATGATGTCTTACAGCAGATTCCTCAGCTGCCAGTCTTGGATGCCCTAGACCTGCCTTCCTCTGCTGATGAGATCAAGAAAGCGATTTCACAGATGAACTCAAATAAAGCAACAGGGCAGGATGGCATTCCTGCTGAGATCTACAAAGCACTAGAACCAAATGCCTTACTGGTGTTCTAAGACATCTTGGAAGACATTTGGTCCACAGAGGAGATGCCTGAGGGTGATGCCCTCATTGTGGCTCTCTGCAAAAATAAAGGAAGCAAATCAGACTGCAGAAACTACAGGGGTATCTCACTGCTGTCCATTTCAGGCAAGATTTTTGCCCCCATTCTCCTGAACGGACTTATCACTGTCTCAAAAAGGAACCTCCCAGAGGCGCAATGTGGCTTTTGGCCAGAATGGAGTATAGCAGACATGATATTTGCCACGAGGCAAGTCCAAGAGAAGTCCATGGAGCAGATCAAGCCTCTTTACTCTGTCTTCATTGACCTGACAAAGGCATTTGACATTGTAAACAGGGAGGATCTCTGGATCATCCTGAGATGTTATGGATGCCCGGGGAAATTCATGAAGTTGATTCAGCTGCTCCACGATGGAATGACCGGACAAGTTCTTTACAACGGTCGATATATCAGCTGCATTTGCTATTTCCAATGGGGTAAAACAGGGTTGTGTGCTAGCCCCAGTCCTGTTCAACTTGTTCTTTGCTTGCATGTTTCATATGCTGTCCAGGGTCTGAAGGAGGGAGTGTACATCAGGTACCGATTGGACAGCACTTTCTTTGACCTTTGCTGCTTGAATGCATGGACAAAGTGCCTCCATACAGTCATCCAAGAAACCGTCTTTCTGATGACTGCACTCCTGGCACACAAAGACAGTAATCTGCAGTTGATGCTGAACAAATTCTCAGAGAATGCTATGCTCTTCAGCCTGACTATCAACCTGAACAAGACTGAAGTACTTTACCAGCCCGTGCCAAGCACCAATCCTGTAGAACCAAAAATCACTGTTGACGACACCCAGATGACAGATGCAAACAGCTTCAAATACTTGGGAAGCATCATCTCAAACCATGGGTCTTTGGACAAAGAAGTTAACTCCAGGATCAGCAAGGCCAGCCAGGCACTGGAGCGGCTGCATAGTGGAGTGTTCAATCAGCACAACATCCATATCTCCACAAAGCTGAAAGTCTACAGAGTTATCCCTTCTCTCCTATGTGGATTTGAGTCCTGGACTCTGGTACAGGCACATAAAACAAATGGAGAAATTTCACATGTGCGCCCTCTGCTCCATCCTTGGCATTCCATGTTTCCAACCTGGAGCTCTCGGATCGCGCAGAGTCCACCAGCATTGAGTCCCTGATAATCAGATCCCAGATGTGGTGGGTAGGAAACGTCATCAGAATGGATGACCACCATATGCCTCACCAGTTGCTCTATAGTGTACTGAAGTCTGGGAAGAGACCCTGAGGTTGACCATGCTAGCGCTACAGAAATGCTGTGAAAGAAACCCTAGGCCACTGTGACATCCAGCCAAAGGAACTAGAAGCTGTGGCTGCTGACAGAACCCACTGGCAAGCGCTGTGCTATGAAGCCTCCACCGGCTTTGAAGACAGGCACTGCCAAAAACTGACAGAAAACTCTGAGCAGCATCACAGAATAATACAGTTACTAGAACAATGGACTTCCAGTGCCCCATTGTGCCAGATTCCGCGCTTCCAGACTGGGACTGCAGAGCCACCTCCGTGTCCACAGATGAACTGCAGAACAGCATGTCTTCTTCAGACCTAAAGGACTATGTGTGAATCCGACCATTTTGTTTGTAAATCAAAGTTAATGGCAGTGTTCCTGTGCTGCATGCAGCCTCAGCTTCCTTTCTGCAGTCCCTAGAATACCCTTTCCCTGTGATCACCAAAAGAGTGATATTTTGAAACTCACAACAATAATAGTGTAATCTCTAAAATAGTATAACAAGTTTTTAAAAATTACCCCAACCCCCTGAAAAAAATGGAAAAATCCCAGTTCTATCACTATCTGTGATATGGCCACACCTCCTTTCTTGCCCTGTGTTAAAAGTGGTATACAACCACCAAACGATGACCCACCTCTGGTTTATGGCTTAGCATGTGGGTGAGCCCAGCTATTATAGCATATTCATTAACCATTTTTGGCTTACAACAGAATTAGTTGACTTTTCTGTGACGTGGGAGCTGCACTTTTAGTTGTTAAAATTTCAGGGGCTTCTGAAGACCACAGGAGTGTGTGGCCAGTCATGCACTGATAGATCAAAATGGGCAGGACTGAAATGTTCACCTCTTCTGTGGAGGCTTCAAGGTAGATTTCAACTCAAAATAGATGCATTAAAGCTTAGCAGTGCCAAAAGGTACAAAAATTGTGTTGTCAAAATTCTCTCTTCTGGGGCCAGATTTCAGTGGTGTGATCTCTGGGCAGCTCACTGGCAATTTCCAGACATTTGCAAACCCAGCTCAAGTGGACAGTCATACATGGCCCTTGCAAGTGGATTCTCCAAGATACGTGTGCAGGAAAATGGTTTGGAATGTTTACATAAATTAGTCATATAAAAATTGCAGGCGTGGTAATAGTGGACAAATAATATGAGTAATGCCATTGCCTCTATCCAGATTCAAATAGAAAATGAGCACTTGTTTTCTTTAGAAACACTTATTACATTTAAGCTACATACAACATGGGTAGGCATTCAGGTGCACGTACTCTTTCCTTTGTATCCATCAGGCTTCCTACCATCCCTGACTTTAAAAAAAAAATAGAAGCATCTTGTAAAATATGGAAACTACCATTCCGCAAAGCAAAGTACCACCCTCCAGCATTAGCTTTCTTTGCAAGAATTTCTCTGAGCCCAATAGGCATTCTTATAAATAAAATAAATAAAAATAAAAATGGGGAAAAGGGACAAAGATAAACTGGAATAGTATGGGACATCCTGAGAAACGAGAAGAATGGTTGGTTGCAATCTGATCTTATACATGTATTTTTCTAATTAATTATTACTTTTAGTAGACCAACTCAATCTTTAAAAACCTCTAAACATCCACCAAGAACAGCTGTCATAAGCCAATGCAGACAATTAATTCATAGACATACAATAAATATAGAATATATTAAATATTACAATTAACAATTACAGAACTGGCATTCATGATTCCCTACAGTCAGGACCCAAAAGCTATCTGCAATAGCCAAGTTTTTACCAGCATCTACAAGGCCATAAGAGTGGGAGACACTCTTCGTGGGAGCGAAGCTGTTCCTCAGGACGAGAGTTCCTATAGCTCGCTTTTGCACCCCTCCCACTGCTCTTCTCAGTAGGCAGGGACTTGCAAAAGGCATTCTCTGTTCACTCAGACTGGGCAGGTAGAAACTATCTGGGATAAGCAGCCTTGTTGGTTACTCAGGCCCTGAGCCATATAGGCTTTTGACTGGCCCAACAATGGTATTATTTTATGAATACAAAAGATTTTTGAGAGCAGCTGTTTTCTGAGAATGCCGTAAAATGCTCTTGGAAGCCCAAATCTGCTCTCACCCCCCAAATGTTGCCTACTTCTAGCATAAATTTAGACTAATTACTTACTATGCACCAAGAGGAAAGGACCTTAATAGTTAATAGTTTGGTGTAATGATTAAGGCACCAGGCTAGCAACTGGAAGACCATGAGTTTTTGTCCCACTTAGGCCCAAAGTCAGCTGACCTTGGGTCAGTCACTCTCTCAGCCATAGGAAGAAGGCAAGGGCAAACCACTCCTGAAAATCTTACCAAGTGGACTCCAGGGACTAGTCCAGGCAGTCACCAGGAGTCAACGCTGACTCGAAGGTGCACATGCCA